GTGTGTGAGAGAGAGAGAGAGAGAGAGAGAAAGATCTGATAGAAGCCGTGTTGATGACTCATGTCTATAGCCCTACTCAGGAGGCTGAGAGCTGAGGAGTCTGAGAGCTGAGGATTGTGGTTCAAAGCCAGCCTGGGGCAGCGAAGTCTGTGAGACTCTTATCTCCTATTAGCTACCATAAAGCTAGCAGTGGAGCTGTGGCTCAAGCAGTAGAGCACAAACCTTGAACAAAAAAGTTAAGGACCAGTGCCCAGGCCCTGAGTTCAAACCACAGTAACACACACACACACACACACACACACACACACACACACACACACACACACACATCATCTCCTAGAAAACTTCTGATTTACTGAGAACAGAGACCTTTGAGGAATTCAGAGATAAGGTAAAAGGGATCAGAGCTATCAGTTTCTGAACTGTCTCCAGGACAGAGATTCTATTTTGCCAAGTTTTCCATTGCTTCCACTACCACTACAAGTTCCTGACCCAGTGTTGCAGGCACAATGATGTGTGTGCAGCTGCTGGAGAGACCTCTGAGGAGGCAAATTGCTCCCTGGGGGCTGGCAGCCAGAGGGATGTAGGATATTGGTGTGGAAAGAGCAAAGGCCTTTGGGGCTCAGAGTTCATTCATTCATGTAAAACTTGTTCCTCATTGAGAACTAGTGACTCACATCTATAATCCTAACTACTCAGGAGGCTGAGATCTGAAGATTGAAGTTCAAAGACAGCCTGGGCAGGAAAGTCCATGAGACTTTGTTCTCCACTTAACCACCAGAAAGCCAGAAGTGGAGCTGTGGCTCAAGTGGTAGAGCACTAGCTGTGAGTGAAGAAGCTAAGGGACAGCACCCAGGCCCTGAGTTCAAGCCCCCATGACTGGTACACACACACACACACACACACACACACACACACACACACACACACACACACAGACAAAGTTGGTAGAACTAAAAACATGGGTATAAATTTTTGCAAGTATGTGAATTATCACTGAGAACTTGAAAATACCCTCCTTACCTGCACTGTGGCAGGTGACTGAAATCCCAGCTATGGTTCCAATCTCACTGACAGGACATGATCTCTTCAGTGCTGGAGTTTGAACCCTACACCCTGCACATGCTAGACAAGTGCTCTACCACTGGAGCCGTGCCCACAGCTCCTTGCCTCCCCCACTCTCTTTTTTTTTTGTCCTGGTTGGCTTTGAACTAGTGATCATCCTACCTTAACCTCCTGATTGGGTGGGATATACTTCCTGGCTACAATGTTTTTGAAGGGGTTGAGATTACCCTTTATCTATACTCAGCCTAGAATTGGGCAGTAGTTTGTCCTCAACCATCTCCCTACCAGGTAATCTTGATACCCTTTCTCTGAAGTACCTGGACAGTTATCCTTGCTCTGTGGCTGCTCTAAAAGCCAGCCTCACCCTTCTGCTTTCTTCTCTGTTGACCAAGAGGGTGGCCAGAACAAACAACGGAGCTCATAAATTGGCTCTGAGCCGGGCAGTTCCCTCTGTTCTATTCGGCTGGTGAGCTGAGCTCAGCTGTTCCCACCTCCTTCCTCCAAACCCCTGGAGCCCTCCTTGTAGATACCCCATGTTTTTGTGGCATATGTCACATTACAACCATCTTTATGAGAGCCTAGGTACAAATCAACTTCTTTTTTTTTTTTGGGGGGGGGCCCGGTTGTGGGGCCTGAACTCTGGGCCTGGGCGCTGTCCCTCAGCTCTTCAGCTCAAGGCTAGCACTCTACCACTTGAGCCACAGCACCACTTCCGGCTTTTTTCTTTTTGCTTATGTGGTGCTGAGGAATGGAACCCAGGGCCTCATGCATGCAAGGCAAGCGCTCTACCACTGAGCCACCTTCCCAGGCCCCCCGGTACAAATCAACTTCTATTTTATTATAGTTATTTATTTTCTGGTCTTGGGACTTGAACTCAGGTCTTAGATGTTGTCCCTGAGCTCTTTGGTTCAAGTCTAATACTCTACCACTTTGAGCCATAGCTCCACTTCTGGTTTTCTGGTGGTTCATTGGAGATCAGAGTGTCATGACTTTTTAGCCTGGGCTGGCTTCAAACTGTGATCTCAGCCTTTTGAGTAGCTAGGATTATAGGTGTGAGCCTCCAGTGCCAGGCTCAACTTCAATTTGCTAGGAGAACTTAACTCTTTTAAGGAATCAAATGATGGTTTATGTCAAAGTTAAAAATCCTTTGGTATCCAGACGCTGGTGGCTCACGCCTGTAATCCTAGCTACTCAGGAGGCTGAGATCTGAGGATCGCGGTTCAAAGCCAGCCCGGGCAGGAGAGACCGTGAGACTCCTATCTCCAATAAACCACCAGAAAACCGGAAGTGGCGCTGTAGCTCAAGTGGTAGAGCGCTCGCCTTGAGCTGAAGAGCTGAGGGACAGCGCCCAGGCCCAGAGTTCAAGCCCCACGACTGACAAAAAAAAAAAATCCTTTGGTAGAAGGGCACCACTGCTCAGTCCCGTAATCCTAGCTACTTGGAAGGCTGAGATTTGGGTATCATGCAGTTTGAAGACAGCATAGGCAAGAAAGTACAGGAGATGCTAATCTTATTAACCCCTTCCCCCAGTTAATTAACAGTGGTTATTTGGGGAAAGTGGGTGGAGGTAGTGAAGGAGAAAGATATTTACCTTTTATTGTTCGAATTATATTGTTTAAGTTCTAGGGCCTGGGTGTGTAGCCGGGTGATAGAGTATGTGCTTGGTGTAGTGTTCAGGAAGGTGGAGATTCAGTCTCCTGCACCAACCAACCAATCAACTACCAACAACTTCACCACTAGGGAGGTACTGACATTAAAACAATTTTTTAAAGTATATATTAGTTGCATAAAGAGGATTTCATTTTGGCATTTCCATCCATGGGTACAATATACCTGGCTCTCTATCACCTTTCCTGTATTCTTCCCCTTTCTCCAAGGGATTGATTTTATTTTGAAAAAATATCAACAGGAATGAGGCTTCATTTTATTCTTGGTCTCTGTTCAAGAAATAAATGTAAAGAGATGTTGGAGGTAGCTGGGCTCCAGTGGCTCACACCTGTCACCCTAGCTACTAAAGAAGCTGAGATCTGAGGACTGTGGTTCCTAACTAGCCAGGGCAGGAAGGTTGTGAGAGACTTCTCTCCAATAAACCACCAGAAAACCAGAAGTGGAGTTGTGAGTCAAGTGGTAGAGTGCTTGCCTTGAGCTGAAGAGTGTAGGGACAGGGTATAGGCCCAGAGTTCAAGCCCCATGACTGACAAAAAAAAAAAAAATCAACAAAACTGTTCCAAAGTGTGTGTGTGTGTGTGTGTGTGTGTGTGTATTCTTTAAAGGTGGGTCCAGAACCAAATGGGGGAGGGGGTGTTTTTACGGGAAGTATGTGTGTGTGTGTGTGTGTGTGTGTGTGTGTGTATTCTTTAAAGGTGGGTCCAGAACCAAATGGGGGAGGGGGTGTTTTTATGGGAAGTATGGCCCCATGACTGTGCTTATAATGATGTGCATGTGAGGAGATTGAGTTAGTGCAGACCTATATGTGTGTGTGCGAGAGACACAGAGATTGACACAGACACAGAAAAAGAGACTGCTAGTGTCCAAGTCTCAGCCTTGTCTATGTGTCTTGAGGGACGTGTCCATACCTGTCGGAATATCTACCTATATTTCTTCACCTTTGGGTGCCTGCATGTCTGTGGCTCCTTTTGCTGGCTCTTCCTTCCCCCCACCGCCTGTACCCTGTGCGGTAACTGGACCTGCACACAGCCAGCCCCCAGGCTGGCAGGCGGACTTGGCTGCTGGTATTTTTAGCCTGTAAACATGTTTGCCATTTTAGAGGACAGGGCTGAGCTGGTCCCAGCCCCGGCCCACTCATGATCTTGCGACCAAGAGGGCGCTCCTAACCTCGTGCCAAGGTCTCAGATGCCCAGCCTGAACTCTCCTCCAGCATTTCGGAAGGAAGAGAAGTTGGTAGAATGGGTCGTGAGTGGCCATCTTTGAGGGGGGAGAACCAAGAGGACCCAGGGAGAAGAAGAACAGAGGTGCAGAGAGGGTGTAGCCAGAAGGGCCCTGCACCCCATCATTAAATGTTTAATAAAAATCTCCATGTGGTTAGAAGTTGCTGTGGGAAATGGCTGTAAACTGGGAGCGGGGAGGTGGAGGAGGAGTCGGAGAGGGGCTCCAGAACAGGAGAGAGCTGGGGAGATGCTGCAGCTCAGGGAGAGATGCGGACAGTGGGGGGGGGGGGGCACCGCCCCTCCAAGGACTGGCAGCAGGCCTGACCTGACCCCCGGTGTCTGCCGCCACGGCCCGATCGGCACCACGGGGCGTGGGGCACGTGGGACCCTGACCCTGGGGCTGAGGCCGGGGTCTCCCGGGGAGGTTTCCCGGGAGGAGATGAGCAGGCGAGGGAGGAGATGGAAGGCGAGACATGGGCACGGCGGCCTGGAACTTGGGAAACGCGGCGGGGAGCCTGGGGCCTGCCCCCCCCCCCCCCAGTGCAGCCTAGCGTGAGAAAAAGCTCAAGTTCTCGATCGGGCAGTTCAGTCGGAGTCGCCCGAACCTCTGGGCCCTTCCTGCAAAACGGGCTGCAGCTGTGAGCACGGGCCCCGGGGTGCTTCCAGGAATTTCTCGTCGATGAAGCAGATACTGGGGGGGAGGGGGTGGACCCAAGGCCAGGGACAGGTCGGGAGGGGGGCAACAGACTGGATAAGGAGGGGGGGAAAGTGGCGTCCGATCGCCCCCGCGCCCCCTTTTCGGCAGCTCCCCCTCCGTACCCACAGCCCCGGGTACTCCCAGACTCGGCCCGGCTGGCTGGTCCCGGCTCCAGCTCCGGCCCCGCCCGGCCCCGCCCTCTCCCCACAGCTCGGGGCCGACCCGCCCGCCCCAGCCGGAGTTACAAGAGCCGCCTCCGCGCTCGGGGGCCCGGCCACTCGGAGCAGCGCTGCCGCCGCGGGGACCGTGCTGCCCAGCCCTGCCGGACCCGCCCCGACGACCGGGGTTCGCCGCCGCCGCCGCCGCCGCCAGCCGCCGCTCCGCCAGCTCGGGCCCCGCGCCGGCTATGGCAGTGCCCCGGGGCTGAGCGCACAGGTAGGGGCCGGCCGGGCTGGGGATAGGGTGTGTGTATAGGGGGGGGTCGGGGGCGGCGGAGCCTGGACGGGGCGCCCTTGGGGTCCCTCGGTGTGAGCGCTCGGGGAGTGCGGAGCCCGGGGGCCGCCGGGCGGCGAGGGGCGGAGGCGCGCCGCACCCCGCCAGGGGCGCTCGGCCTCCGAAGCCGGGGCGCAAGTTGGGCAAAGTTGGAAACTCGCGCCGACGGGAAGTGTGTGCGGCTAGCGCTCCGTCCTTCTCTCGGGGGGCGGGCGGTGTGGTCCCGATTGCACGGCGGGGCGCCCCGTTCCTGGCTCCAATCTTAGGCTGTTCCTCCCTCCCTCCCTCGCTCGCTCGCTCCCCCCCCCCCCCTCCTTGGGGCGGTGGCTCCGCGCGCTGCTCGGCTTCAATTCGATGTTTACTGGATAAGTTTTCGGAGAACTCCGCGGCAGTTCCCCCGGGCCCCTCCCTGCGCCCCGGTGCTCTGCACCCCTGCGCCCCGGTGCTCTGCACCCCTGCGCCCCGCGCCACCTCCGCTGTCCTTCCCCGCGCCTCCGCCCCTAACTCCGCGTCCCGAGTCCTCCCGGCCCCACCCTGTTCTGTACCCCCCGAGCCTCTCCCTTTCTGGCCCCCCTCACCCCCCCTCCAGCGGCCCCGCCCTGGTCTCGCCCCTCGGCGTGGTCCCCCCTTCTTCCTCCACTGGAAGTGGCTGCGCGCCCCTGCGGGACGGGCGGGGGTGGGGACATAATTAGCGAGATTCTTGCGCTGGGGTGGGCGGGGAGGGGGGTGCCGCGCCGAGACACAGCCCCCTCCAGAACCGCCCCTTCCCCCTCTTCGAGGCGGTGCTCCCCCCCACCTCCAAACTCGTCCGGGCGGGCGGGGTCCCCCCCCCCCCCCCGCCCTGGCCCGGCGCCAGCAGCCTGAGGAATGCGGTGGTTGGAGCCGGTGACTAATTCAAACCAGAACTCGGGAGAGGAGTGGCGAGGGGCAAAGGGGAGGGGGGAGAGGGGCTGCGTGTGGGCCCAGGGGCCGCGAGCCGAGCCCGGCGTGGGCGGGGGGGCCCCCGCGGCGTCCCCGGACCCCTCGGCTCCTCCGCGCTCGCCCGCCGCCGCGGCAGGGGGCGAGGCCGCGCGCCCCGGGGTGTGTGCAAGGGACCCGCGTTATGTAAGGCTTCGCCCAGGCAGGGACGGCGCCCGCGCTGCCCCTCGCCTGCCCGTGCCAGGGTCTGGAGGTGGGGGTGCTGATCGGGAAGGAGCGGGATTAGCTGTGCCCCCGTTTGCACGTCGGGGTGGGGGAACCTCCCAGTTCTGAGCCAGGACCACCAGGTCCGGGCCGCTCTGGCTCCGTGCACGGCGTGGTCACGGGGGACCACGGGGCTGGCGCGCCTCCGGGCGCGCGCTTGGCAGGGTGTGGCCCCTCCCGCTGCAGCCCTCCAGGTGCTGGGGAGCTGGCGGTCGCCGCCCGGCGTTGTGGGGCTCTGGAGAGGGGCAATCGAGAAAAACCCTCCCTCCTGCGGGCAGTGGGGTGAACCCCTACTTCTCGCAGGAAAAGGGAGGCAGATATTCACCTCTGGGTCCCCAGTGCCCTTACTGGGCTCCCAGTTAATGGCTTTGAAGTCGACTTCCCATTACAATTTAACCTCGGGATTGGGGGGGTGAGGATGTCTTTACTCTCGTGCCCCTCCTCTCTGCAGGGCCCCCCCCCCCCCGCACATGATGATAGATCTCGGGTGGATTTGGGGGGTGGGACCCCCTTGATCAAGCAGGGTGCTGTTCGGATAGGTGGATGTGGGTAAGGGGAGGTCGAAAATGACTAGGACGGCATTTAAGGGCTTTTGTGCAAATTAAGTGAGTTAAAGAGGCGGAGGTCCCTACCCGGTGAGGGAAGTCCCTGAGGTAGGGCGTGGCACTTTCCTTTCTCACTGAATGGAGTGTCTGACTGCCTTCTCCTCCCGCCTGAGGGTCTACTGGGCCAGGCCCTCCCCAGGCCCTGTAGAGTGTGCAGATTGGGGGAAAGGTCCTAGGAAGCCCTCGGTTTAGAGGGCACACCTTTATTCTGAGCTGTGAACTGTGATGAAGGAGGGTGGTAGAGGAACTGAGACTCTGGGAGTTAAGTTTACAAAGGAAAGCTGGGCCCTGGTGACTCCTGCCTAAAATCCTAGCTACACAGAAAACTGAGATTTGAGGATCTCTGTCTTGAGACTCTTATCTCCAACTAACCACCAAAAAACAAACAAAAAAACAGAAATGGAACTGTGGCTCAATTAATGGGTAGAACAACAGCCTTGAGTGAAAAAGTTAGTGAGCTGGGCACTGGTAGTTCCACACCTTTAATCCTAGCTACGCAGGAGTCTGAGATCTGAGGACTGAAGTTCAAAAACAGCCTGGGCGGGAAAGTCTGTAAGACTTATCTCCAATTAACCACTCAAAACCTGAAGTGGTACATTGGCTTAAATGGTAGCCTTGAGCAAAAGAGCTCAGGGGCAGCTCCCAGGCCCTGAGTTTAAGCTCCAGGACCAGCAAAAAAAAAGAAAAAAAAAAAGCGCTAGTGAGAACTTGAGGTCCTGAGTTCAAGCCCCAGTGAAGCACATATGGTGCACATAAGTGTGAGCATGCACGCGCGCGCGCACACACACACATTTGCAAAGAACATTGGGATAGGGCCTGGGGTAGAGGATGAGGATTGGAAGATGAACTTTTCTCCAAAGCTCTGTGTTACCTCAGTTACACACACACACACACACACTCACACACACACAAGCCTTTTCCCAAGAGGTTATGTACAAGTCAGAGAAGAAGGACCTGAGATCCTCGTGCCATGTGGGGCTTAGTGTCACCAAGATGGATGGTCCACAGCAGCGATGCAGAGGTCCAGGTCTGTGCAAACTTCCTGAAGAGCGGACCCTGTGCAGAGCTGAGGACTGGTGCTGGCCAGACATGGTTTAAGGTGGAGGCTACAGGTCCTGAGCCAGAATGGGACATGAGAGAGGGAGAGAGACAGACAGACACAGAGTCAGAAAGAGGGACACAAGAAAACCAACTCCAGAACCTGTGGAGGGAGAAAGCCTGCATTAGTCAAGGGTGTGGAATGGGCCCCTGGGGGCAGGGGGGCAGGGGCGAGGCTGGGTCACCTCAGTCAGTCCTGGGGAAGGCCCCAGGTGGAGGGGCCAGCACCACTAGACTGGATTCTTTTGCATGTTGTCTTGGATTGGAATGGGCTGGCAGGATCTGGCGGAGCACTCCACTGGGAGCCTGAGGAGCTGGTTGGAGGAGTTGGGGCAAGGCAGTGGGGGTGGAGGGGTGTGTGGGGCACTAGGGTGTGGTGAGCAACTTCTGCAGAACTTGGGAACTGCCTGGGGACAGGCTGAGGCAGACTGGGAGAGCTCGTCTGACTCCTGCTGGAAACTTAGTCTAGCTGCCCCCCACTCCCTGCCAGTTTCTCTCCCTAGAGCTGGGCTGACCATGCGGGGTATGATCTTAGGTGATCAGAAGGGAGGTGTTTCCCCGAGGGTGTAGAATATGTGTTGTATTCGGGCAAGGGCAGTGCTGAGGGGCCCAGGCCTTCTGCTCCCTTTGCCCTGGGCAGGCTTTGGCCTGGGAGCTTGCCTTCCTCTGGATTTGACCCCTGTACCATCTCCTGGTCTGAGTCCTTTTTTTTGGGGGGGGGTCCCTTAGCTTTTTTTTTTTTTTGTCGGCCATGGGGCTTGAACTCTGGGCCTGGGCGCTGTCCCTCAGCTCTTCAGCTCAAGGCGAGCACTCTACCACTTGAGCTACAGCGCCACTTCCGGTTTTCTGGTGGTTTATTGGAGATAGGAGTCTCACGGTCTCTCCTGCCCGGGCTTTGAACCGCGATCCTCAGATCTCAGCCTCCTGAGTAGCTAGGATTACAGGCGTGAGCCACCAGCGCCCGGCTCCCTTAGCTTTTTTTGTTCACCGGCTCCCTTAGCTTTTTTTGTTCAAGGCTAATGCTCTACCACTTGAGCCACACTTCCACTTCTATTTCAGTTTCTCTCTCTCTTTTTTTTGGTGGTTAATTGGAGATGAAAGTCGTCATAGAAGCTGGGCACCAGCGCCTCAACCCTGTAATCCTAGCTACTTAGCAAGCTGAGATATGAGGATCGAGGTTTGAGGCCAAATCTAGGCAGAAAAGTCTGAGTCTCTTTCCCTCTCCCTCCCTCCCCCCCCTCTCATCGTGGGGCTTGAACTCTGGGCCTGGGCGTTGTCCCTGAGCTCTTCAGCTCAAGGCGCTCTACCACTCAAGCCAAAGCACCACTTCCAGTTATCTGGTGGTTTACTGGAGATCAGAGTTACGAACTTTCCTGCCGGGGCTGGCTTTGAACTGTGATCTTCAGATCTCAGCCCCAGAGTAGCTAGGATTACAGGCACGAGCCACTGGCGCCGCCGGGCTGGGGTCTCAGGCTTCTAAGTAAGATTACAGGTGAGACTCAACAATGCCCAGCTCCCGCACTCGGCTCTGTGAGATTCTTATCTCCAATTAAGCACCCAAAACATAGGAAGTAAAGCTGTGGTTCAAGTGGTAGAGAGCTAGTAGCCTTTAGCACAAAAGCTCAAGGACAGTGCCCAGGCCCTGAGTTCAAAAGTCTTATAGACTTTCCTGCCTGGGCTGGCTCTGAACCAGGATCCTGAGATCTCAGCCTCCTGAGTAGCTAGCCACTGGTGCCCAGCCCTTGTGGTTTTGGAGGGCCTGGGCAATGGCATTATGCTCTGCTGGTGGAAGTTTTGTGCCTGTGTGAGGATGTCAGCGACAGGGCCAGGACAGCCCTGGGATCACAGGCCCCACAAGGCTTTGCACACAGCCTGTCAGGGAGGAGCATCCTGCCTGCTCCCTGGGGGCCTGAGTGGAGGCTCTGGCAGCTGGAGGGGGGGGGCTAGAGTAGAAGGGGAAGTGCTTGGAGCTGATCCTGGCGGTGGCTACGTGTCCTGCGGGCTGGGGGTGGCTAATTGGCAGCTCTGTCCTGCGCCCCTGCACTGGTGAGGCCTGAC